GAGGCCTAATTGCTATAACTTAATGTGGAGTTATTCCATGCTACTACAATGCATCGGACAACTGTAATTTCCGATTAATTTCCTGTCCATTTTGAATGTGTGCGTGCTTACCATTTTCATCTTATACTCAGTTTATTTTCCAGTGACTGACTCCAATAACCCGTTGGTGCGAAGCGATGGTTCAGAGAGCACTACGACTCGATTAACTGATAACCGTCCGGAACGTAGAAGGCGCATGAAGGCGATCGCACCACATTCGCAACTGCATCACGTGGAAATAGAACGGTGTCATTCTTATTCATTATTGTTGTTTAACAGGTTGGGCGACAACTTCACCAGTAGTACAACATAGATGACGCTAGGGGGATACGACCGATATATCTGTGCTTCACTGAGCCTTGTCCACCAGAAAAAATGATTGCGTTTACTAGTAAGACCACTTGTGGTTTTCGCCAGCCCACTCTCTGAACCGACCTCGCGCTCTGGTCATCTTTGCACCGCTGGTGCTTTGAGGACACATCATTCGCTGTATACATATATATATATATATATATATATATATATGCATATATATGCATATATATACCTGTACACATATATATATCTGTACACATATATATATTCAAAAAAACGTAATATCTGTTTATGTTCTCCTAAATGAATTCTGTACTAACAATTCATCTTTCTTTTTCCGGCTTCAAAGCCATTCCAGTTTTTCATTATCGTTCCATAGAGTATCTCACAGTGATTATAGAGTACATCATATATCACTTGAAGCGATTCAAAGCTGCTGACTCACACGGATTCCCTCCGGAGTTGTTCAGCTACGGTGGGGAGGCAATTGTCAACTAGTTGACAGCTCCGTCCTCCAAGATTTGGTGTGAAGGAAAGCTTCCATCTTCTTGGGGCGAGTCGATTATCGTACACATCTTCATACAGTGCTCTTACCTCATGCGCCAACCACAGAGGAACCAGTCAAATATCCGTCGCCTCCAAATTGCTAACATCCATTCTACTCCGCAGGCCAACGCCGGTTCGAGAATTACATTCCCGTGAAAGGCAGGCAAATTTCTGCCCCGGTCGAGGGTGTGTGGACTGTATGTTACGCTCCGCTAACTCCTCAAACAGCCTCATCATTTCCGCCGGCCTACCATTGTCGCTTTTTTGGATATCCGAGCTGCGTTTGACTCGGTCGGTCAACCTGCTTTATGGCATTGTGCCCGAAAAGTATACTGCCATCCTTCGGACTTTATGCAACAATTTCTGTGGTAGACGGCTTGTGTAAGCTCTGGTCATCTTACACAGTAACGGTGTGCGACACTGATACAATATGTCCTCGTTTCTCTTCAACCTTACAATTGATTACGTCTTATTAAGCGCTTTGGAAAGTCTCCAGTGTTTTGGTGTAGAGCTTCTTCCAGGCAACCGCGCAACTGACTTGGACTATGCTGATAATATTTCGTTACTCGGTGTGGACCCACAGATTTTGCAGATCATTCTAAATTGCTTGGTGATTGAAGCTATCAAATATGGCATGACCTTCGCTCGGTAAAAATTGAAAGTCCCACTCCAGGATTGGCATCCACCTGCCCCACTGCTGAGTCTTGAAAGTACGCACCTTGAACAAGTGGAAGTTTTACCTACCTTGGGAGCTGCATTTCTGCTAATGGCACCGTTTGAAGAAAACCTTCTTTCCGCATTGTCAAAACCCGATCAGTTTTCGATAATTTGTGGCATCTGTGGCGTCGTCGTGACTTTTCATACTCAGTAAAGGGCAGGGTGGATAATGCCTGTACTGTTGTACAAAGTGAATCCTATCCGGTCCGTGTAAATGACGCTTCAGATTTCGGTCTTTGACACTGCTCCTTTGCAGAGGATAGCTCGTATGTGGTGGGCACACCACGTTTGCGGCAATGATATCTTAATAACTATGGCTCTCCCTCTCGACAAACTTATACCGCTCGCAAAGTGATTTGACTAAGTCACCTCCTACACATGCCGTGCGAGCGTTTACCAAGCTCCACACGCCCGCGCACGGCCGTACTTGAAGAAATCGCGCGGTGGCCAACCTACCACTGACAAATCATCAAGGCGCTAACTTTCAATTCAGCTGTTGTGGGTCCCGTACGTCTTCCGTGTTGGGGAGTCAGAGATGAAGAACCTCGATGGTTGGAGACTCTTGTGCGTATGGCGCGTAATCGGGGCCCGTAGAAGATTTGTAAGTTTATGCTTTGATTCTACTAACCAAATCTGTGCACATTAAAATGATAAAAGAAAGACAAAACAGCGTGTGAAAAACATATGGCTTTTCTTCGTATATTTCTCACTTTGTGATCTTTGTACATATTATGCACATTCATTCCATGGGTTTCGATGGCTCTATGTTTCTTTTCTAAACAGTTGCTATGATATATACATATATATGTATATAATGCACATCATATATCCTAATCGAGCTCTGGCTGGCATTTGCCATATCGACTAATCTAATTCTTTTGCTTTTATGATATTTACACATAACTGGCAAATTGATTTAGTTTGTTCCTCCGTTGTCTTACGTTTTTCTGAAGCAACTTCATGCTTGATTTACAGACGCCCTTGTTTACTCCGTTTGTGTCTTTAGCATGTTGCTTGTGTACTGAAATGTGCCTCTCCAGATTTACCCTCTGAATGCAAAAATCGACTTCAAATTAAAGTTCGCGGTAGCACACGACCGTCGAACCGTCGTAGTTTCATCTCATCCTCCTCCGCTTTTGTGTGTGTGTCGTGTGGTTAGGCGGGAGGAACTGAAGCTGTACCTTTCTTTCACTGGTTTTGTTGCTGAAGGCGAGCCAGCAGCAGTCCTCTGCTACGTACCATTCAGTCACTGAGCCGCTGTGGTATGCTCTTCGAGCGGAATTTTGTGACACTTGCTGGCTACTTTAATCTATCTGCCACAGTCCATGATGTCGACGACTGGCCAAATCTCTCGGGGAAACTTATTGTTCTGTATTGCGTTTACCCAAAGATAGAGTATTGTTTACTTCTGGACTTTGCGGGAAGCTGATCACAATCAGGGTCAAATCTAATTTACTACGGACTTTTCATGCTCTCGCATAAATATGTCCCAGTACAGGGGTTAAAAGATATGCGGTCAGTAATATCAAACTAATGAATGCATGGATGTACACATGGATTTCTTCATGACATTATAACTTGTTTTCTGCATTAAGGACAACCGATGCTTGTGGAAGTTTCAAATGCTCATGTTCTGTACATTGCGTCTAAACATGTCATCCATGGTAAATTTAGTGAAAATAATGACCGAATGTAACCGAAAAAGCAAAAGCGACGCGCTCACCGATTCACTACGTGTCACTATCGACAACAGTCTGATCGCTCCCTTGTCGGTATCCTACTACTTCCAGCCAGTTGGCTTACTGCCTCATATGATGATGGATCGTACAAATGTTGTCCATTTCCTTTGGGAATTCTGCTCTTCGGGTGACTGTCATTTGTAGCTTATCTATTCGACCAGTGCCAATAGGTCTGGAATATATCTTAATTTTTTCCCATTTTTGTAGCCGACACTTATTCCTAAACAGCAGCAAATTTGGTAACCTTACATTTTGTCCTCTGATCTGTGATCCAGCCCAATCGATTGCTGAGCATAACTATGGGTTTAGGTCACACAGAGCAGGGCTCTCTGCGCTGCCCCTGTTGGTGCGCTAGTACCCAGCCTATAGAACCGTAAGTAACCTAGGTCTGCTGGTTCGCTTCGATATTTATCAACCTGAATTACCTTATACAGCCGATTGATAAGTCCCCTTGATCTTCATTCACATGGTTGCAAGTGCGTTTGTGATTTCGTGATAGCTTCGATTGAGCTCTACTATAAGGTAATCTGCCTCTATCCATAGCCGACACTGTACTGTCATTCTGGCCGTCCAGTGAATGTTCATCGATGCTTCTCCACGTTCATTTATACGCGCCTTTGCACTGTCTCCTAGTTAGCGTTTGTGGCAGATATACTACGATTTTCTCCGTAGGAGGCTTATTTTGTTACTGGGTGACGATCTGTGCCGTTTCTCAGTCGTCTACGCCTACGGAACTTAACTCTCTCTTGGCTCTGTTGGTGCAGTTGAAAACGCTTTTCTGGCTATCTCTACGGTAGCCCTTGTTGTCCACTGCGCCTATTTTAATAGTTGCCGCCCCTCCGTACAACTTCGGATCTATATTTGCTGTAAACCCATACTTTATATCTCTGACCTCTTCTCGTTTGTCGACAATTCACCTGCGCTCTTTCTACCCTCATATATCATCTTTTATCACCGATCCCCAACAGAAAATGGAACAAAGGTATAATCCGGGTCAATAAATCGCTGTACACCTCTACGGATCTCGTTCGTACTTGATATGACAGAGCACAACTTCTTAACGTTTTACTAGCCCTCGTTTTGAGATCGCCAGTGCAGCCCGGTCGTGTGTTAGACATGATTGCCAAGTCTGAATCACTTACTCCACATGAAATAATAAGTTCCTTAGCGGCACCATAAAACCCATTTTGCAGTGCGTCTTTTCTAGCTTAACTATGCCCACTTAGCTAGGGCTACGTAGCGCATTCTGATAATCTCGATTGATTATTCCCATAAATCAACGAACGCTATGAAGCAAACGCATCACACAAGGCACATAACGATGGCTCAGAGAACGCAGCACCTATATGCAACGATGTCATAAGGATTTCCAACCAGACCCACATCGGTCACCATCCGGTCATCCCTACTTTCCGTTGTTGATGTTAATGGTTCCGGTGAAAAGAAAGGCTTATCTCGTCAGTTTTCGTTTCCAGGTTTTAATACACTAGTGGAAGCAAATATTCCATAGAAATTGCATTTTATTGTGCAATTCCTACTGGGTCGAGCTCGCAACAATAAACCACTCTATTTTACTGGAAGTTGCTACGTCATGTGTTTCCAATACCAGTTTACATTACTTTCACATTGTGCTTATCGCTGTAGGTCACGATGGCACGAAGCGAGGACGCCCTGCTGGCCATTCGCGATCCAAACCCGTGCATCGATGGCAGGAAAGCAAACGTCAATCTGGCCGTTCTGGGTGCAAAGCCGCGCCTAATGCCTGGTGGTAAGCGGCCACTTCAAGTGACACCATTTTGTCTACATGGATTTTACTCACATCACACTAAAACCACCCCAAAGAGTTGCTGATTTTCATGCGGATTGCATGTCATTTTTGCCGCCTTATTTCTCCCTTACCATATCTTGCCGCCTACAAATCGTGCAAATACCTTTCTTGCACAGTGAGAAGAAACCAAATTTCTCGTAGCAATTCTATCTAGTTATCCATGCAAATGCCTGCCCCCTTCCCAATTAGGCTGCATGGGTATTTTCAGCCAGTGCCCATACAAACGAATTTGTCATGAAATCTTCCGGTGTTGTGGTGATTGCAACCTCACTCCAACACTGGTACACTAACATCGTGCCGTAGCCATGGTTTGCGAAGAGACAACTGCATCAGCAGTTCTGTTCAGTGACCAAAATTACCCGTGATCTGGTCATCATCACAACACTGTACTGTATTTTGACTACATTTGTGTCTCAGAATGCCAACTTTGCCTGTCAGCAAAGATGTGCCTACTGCGCGCTGTAGCCGAAGCGCTAACTAGCGGTTGAATGGGCGATATCAGCTGCGCGACCGTGAGTGGCGAAATTTCTCCCACCCATTAATACATGAATCTGAGGCCACCGTGCATAACGCATGGGGAAACGATCCAAATGTGTTGCTCCTCTAAGCTGCCTTACACCCAAGTAACTGATGTTTCACTGAGCAACAGTACCCAGTTAATCGATTAGCTATCTTTATCATTGACGATCACACGGCACGTGGATGGACTCGTACGGCTTATAAACGTATCGGGGCGTACACCAGCACAAAAGTAAGTCCGATTAGTCTGTTGTTCAAACCATAGTATAAAAAACGATACTCACTAGTTCCAAATGAGGTTCCGGCGTTGATACTTATGTTACCGATAGTGGACCACACGAATAGCCACCTGAGTGGGGACCGAAAGTCACAGTTCGAATTATGGTGGGTATGAACGTCGACGAAATTGTGAAGCCGGACTTCCTACTGGAGCTGTGCTTCGTTTCATTCGACGATTGGTCACCGTTATTACTCTTAACCCATTTTCTGCTGTGGCTTTAAATTTTATTCCATTTTTACACATTACGGTGAAAAGATACTCACATAAGTTTTGGGTTTTGAAAGTTCGATTATGTTAAAAATATGGGGATTTTTCCAACTACCCAAAGTAAGGAGGAGAGCAATAAATGATACCGTGACATGGCATTTTGGAGGAAAACATGAAACCCATTTTCTGCGAAAATACACAGCCGATTGCAGATTTGAAAAGACGGTGTTAAATATTCCAAGATACAACCACAGACGTTTACTTATTATAAATGTATATGTGGCCAACGTTTACACAAAATTGTCCTCCATTATTCATGTATGGTATGCCGCAGAGCACTCTCCGTGTAGTGACATATCACACGTTGGGCAGAGTAGATTAGCTTTCTTCTCACAGGCCCGCGGCTTCTTGGTTTTGGCATTAATTCCAAGGGGTATTCAGATCAAGATTCTGATTCTGTCTTTAACTTTTGTCGTTTGCTCCTGGGTGTTAGAACATTTTGTAGAATATTCTCAGCTAGATACACCTGCAGGTAGACTTTCACGATCACTCATTTGAAGGAAAGCACGTCATGGTGCACTTGCTCATGTGCAGGTTGTTTTCTCTTCAAAAGCCAAGCATCATTGGTTACATATGCATCAGCAGAACGCCGTTACGCAGTACCGACGCTTTGCTGCCGCATAACCACCAACGGTCGCGCATAGGCTAAATATACTGCGAGGATAACCCGGTTCTCTAGGCAGGTTCGAAACCGGGCCCTCAGATTGCAAGGCAGCGTTTAGGGTTAACTGCGAATAGCGGTCAACACCACATTTTGCCGCGAAAATTGACCCAATATTGACCGACATTTTGGTCCACTTGATCCACTACTCCTACCGGAGTTTTGTACTTTTTAACGATACCAGGTTGTTCAGTAAGTACGTGATTTTTGTTCTTCGCCAACCACCTCCTATTTTTGTCAGAGTATATGCGTCAACGGAGTTACTGGAACGTCTCACATCGGTGTTATCATTCCGAGACCATACGAATACGTCATCTCGCCTGTCAAACCTGTAGTCATAAGTACCTGTAGTCATAAGTACCTCAGCTTAATTTTCCCAGGACCTTTGTGTCGATGGGGTACTTGTCTTAGTTGCTCGAACTGTCCCCTTTGCTCTCATGCCTTTTCGGTTAAGGTTTCATGAGGAGCAAGCCTGTGAAAAATTGTCAGATATAATGTGATAGAGAGCTTCTCCACTAGGCCCATAACGGTACCATTTCCCAAACCTAGTGTCTTGTCACATTTGGTCTGAGCTCCTTGGTAGAGATCTAGATGGGCAGCATAGCCTAGGGGTGTTACAATGACCCACTGTTTATACCCGAATCTAACAGGCTTTTCTCTGATGCATTGATGTAGTCTATGACCATTGTAATATGGTGTCATATTTTGATCCAGGCACAGCTTTTGTTCCATGAGGAAGAATTTCGTAAATCTTTTATTGGAAATTATGCAGTGGTGAAGCCTTTGTAAATTTGTTCTTTTTCAAGATTTTGAACAACACTTGGCAAAGTAGCGCTCACCTTATTTATACTTGATTTATATACATGATTTATATATGATTTATTCAGAGCATTGGTTCTGAGTTTGTGATCTTAGACAAAACCCTTGCTTCCTCCATAATCTTAGTCTGGTATCATTTTAAGATTGTATTGAAGAAACGATCATGTTGGTACCAACTTCCTCTTATATAAGTTATTGCTCCTTTCTAGCTCCTCTTCGAATGGTTCGCCCTTCATGTGGACTGTAATTACTGTTCCATTGGGCGATGTTTAGCTAGCCTCAGTGTCACTAACTGAGACAGACAGACAAACAGATCATTAAGAAATCCAGCATCCTAATTAACTTCATTGATATCATCTTCATCAGCGTTTTGTCCATCACCCGGAGATCTACTGTTAATGTTACCTTTTAGGACGTCGTCAACCTCTTCTATCATCATGTACACAATGCATTTTGTGCTTCCTGTTGGATAAAATGAAATATAGTTTGCATATATTTCTAACAAAATAGGACATCAAAAAGGATAAACGCATGTTATTAGGATGCAAAATGTTTCACACTGCGGTAGTTTGAGCTTAATATATCTGAAAATTGATAACATATGAACATCTTTTCAATCATGTTCCCAATGACTTAATTTCTTCAAGCTATGAGCATGGTATCATTTATTGCCGGTGTCCTTAACATAGGGGCAAATGGTTGCAGTTCACGGGTACGATAACTACCACACAATATGCTCTAGACAACTCAACTATGGCAAAATTCAGTACTTTTCAATAAGAACTACTTAAGGTACATTAGCCTTTTTGGATTTTCCATTTTATTTTCCGTCATACAAGAAAAGAAAATCATTCTTTCAAAATAAACTTGGGCTGCTTAAAACGATTTCAAACTAATGAGAAGTTGTGCGCTCTATAAAACTGAGGAAATTGCAAAAATTGGCGCATTGGTATCCAAGAATATAGCATTTACTGCACATTTTGCTGACCCGTAGCATAAAGGTAACAAGCTTGTCTTGTAATCTAACGGCGCGGGTTCGATCCTGGTCGGGGCACGGCGATCCTCGCAGTATCCTTAGCCCAGGTGCTATCGTTGGGGGTTGCACAGTAGTTTAGCGTCGGTACTGCGTACCGGCGTACTGCTAGTGCCTCTAAAATTGCAACCAAAGAAATTATAACAAATAGGGTAATTGTATGTTTTAAGTCACATTTTAAAGATGTCCTATTTTAATGACACCAAGTTTCGAACATTTTGCGCACGCTGAGAACCCACCCTACGCGATGCTATACATCGTGTTTCTCGTTCTGGTCTTTGTGGTCATTAACGGTAATAGCTTCATGATAATGAGTATACTGGATCGCTGTAGCTAGCCTGGCCTACAATGTGAACGCGGTGATGTAGGTTAGAGCATTTGACAGTACCGATTTAATTAATAAGTGCCTCTGCGTTCGCAACGACCCTGCATCCATCACTCGTGATGCTTTGAAGCATTTAGCACTCGCCGCCGTAATGATAGCAGTTAGAGTTGTCTAGCTGAACATCAGGTAAGTCTGTTAGTCTAAGTAGTGGATACGCATAACTAATGATGGATGGATGACGAAAGTTTGTGTATATTTTATACTGGCGTATGAGGGCAATAGTAAACAGTTGATAAGTCGGCCAAATTGATTACTCTCCTTAATGTTGTGTGTCTGCAAGGTTATGTAAACATTTCTCAATCTTTTCCTTCATCGTTTCTTTGCGGTACCCAGCCGAGTATTCTTAGTGGTTGTTTTTCGTGACTGCTCTTGCACTACCGTCTCTTCATCCTGTGCAACAAGCATTCAAAAGTCGAGTTGATGGAACTCATTTTGGTTCCGATGAAGAGATCCAAGTGGTTGATCTAGCTCCCAGAAACCGCAGACATAATCGACAAACACAACACCGGGAGTGTGGGTCAATAACTTTTACTGCAGAGTGAACCATTCGTTGGCTAACTTCCTATCCATCCGACTTTCTCTCGATAGATTAGACCTCGCGCTTGCCACCTCTCTGGCCAGGGATCACTATACGCTTTTTGTTGAGTTCAAAATGACCCGTTGGATTTCATTAGGTGCAGTGGGATTACACCTTCACGCAAACATTTTAACTTCCGATGTTGGCACCACCTCACGATCGTTGTAATCTGTGAAGACATCTCAATTGACTCTTGCGTGTCGACTATCCCTAACATCACACCACAACTTCTTTGTCCCACATCTTTCATTTGCATGAGCTGGTGAAGCGTCTCATCTGCATTCCCCTTCACATGCGCTAATGACCACGTTGCGTAAGGTAAACCCGAAGTTCATGCGACCCCCATCGATTCTAGACGCTGATGTTCACTAATCTTTATAATCAATTCCTGCAGTGTTT